TGATACAACAAGGGCAATATTCATCTACCTTATAATGAGTAATAAATGTGTATATTCCCTCAGAAAATGCAAAATCGTAGCATTTCGGGAATCCCGCCAAAAGTCCGGGATTCCCGATGTAAATCCCAGTGGAAATATACTGGGATCCCAGTATATTTCCACTGGGATAAAATTTCGGGAATCCCGCCAAAAGTCCGGGATTCCCGATGTAAATCCCAGTGGAAATATACTGGAATCCCAGTATATTTCCACTGGGATAAAATTTCGGGATTCCCGCTAAAAGAGCGGGATCCCAATCAGAATCCCAGTATATTCCAATCAAAATCCCACAATATCCCAGTGGGATCCCAGTATATTTCAACCGGGATTTACATCGGAATTCCCGGACTTTTGGCGGGATTCCCGAAATTTTATCCCGGTGGAATTAGGTGGGATCCCACTTGGAATCCCATCAAAATTCCAGCTGGGATTTCAGTGGGATTCCAGATTTATTTTCTCTTGGGATTGATTTAAGGAAATGTCAATAGAATTAATAGATAGTTGGCTGCACTTGAAATTACGCAATCTTCAATGTTTGCATTTTTATGCAAGTATTTCTGTGTATACAAAGATTGTCTTTGATGAAATTCTTTGGTCTACAGCAATAAAAGACATTCTATTTTGATAATGTAAAAGCAGAGGGGCCCATCGGAATTAGTAATTACATTACAGCTAAAACAGATTTTCTTTTTTTCATCTCTCCATAGAGAAATTGGCCATATAGGGTGAGTGAAACTTCAAGTTTGTTAACCTTTCTAAGCTTACGTAGGAGATTTCATGCTTTTTCACTTGTTTTATCATAATTAAGAATTGAAAGAGCAATTCAGTAATCTAAGCAGATACGGTACAAACAAGGTGATTAAGAGAATATGACTGTACATACAAATGCATTATCTTTTTTGCTTGAGAAAAAAAAGGATTTATGCCAGTCCTGTAGTTTTCTTTGATTCATAGAAATAAGAAGATGTGGTATAAGTGCCAATGAGACAACTCTCCATCCAAAGTCACAATGTGTAAAAAGTAAATTAAATAATTAACAAGTAAATAATGCATCAGTTTAGTTACTTGAAATTTGTATATTGAAGGAAAAAAGCAACTGTATTCAAATACCATATTTATTCTAATAATGTCCTTTTCAATAAAAGATCTACCCAGATGGCTTTTGTTAATTGTGCATTGGTTTTTGATGATTCACATTAATAAACCCTTGTAATTAAAAACCTAACCTTTTAAGATGTTGAACAAAATTTAATCTTTTTTCAGTTATTTGTAGAGTATAGTGATTTCTATATATGATCAGAAGGTTTCTAAAAATATTAAAAAGATGACCTTATATAGGAGAAAAATATCTGGTAGGCTTAAGGATATGAATAACTTTATATAATGAATATACAAATAAATAAACATAAATCTATTTAAATGTCTGTTTAATCCATTAAAGCCCATCTTATGTCACATCACAGGAAAATATTGACAGGTCAATTGAAGGTCGAATGTATATAAAGATCCTTTATTACTTGAAGATGGGGTCAGTTATTTAATTTTGACCATATTGTTAAAACCCCAGAAATTAGACCTTAGGAAGTTGGTTGAAAAGAGGCTTTATTTTTGAAGGTATGTACCAGCTGAAAACTGAGGAAAACTAATGTAATATGCATCATATATTAATACTAATTTTTTCCTGCAATTTTTACATTGAAAAGCAGAATTATTTAGTTTTTATTTGTTGCAAAATTTGGTGAATTCTCGAAAAACCATTATTCTTTCTAATATTATGAATAGTCACCAAGATTGTACTATATATTGCATAAATTCAATTTTTCTAAAAACAATGCACTTTTCACATATTTGTGAATGGGAAAAATGAATACAATTACCAAATAAGTATTTGAAAATTGACCAAAACTATGAAGTTTTCATCAAAATGTGTAGAAGTGACTTTTCCATATACATTTTGATATCATGGATTTTAAACAACTTGTTTTAAGTTTTTGTACAACATCAACTTTATAATAGATATAATTGAAAATCTCGTCTTATTTTGTGAAAAAAGGCCAAATTAGGCCCTCATGGCATCCCTTATTTGTTTTTTATACGACCGCAAAGATCGTATAATGGTATGATGTCGTCGTTGTCTGTGTCATTGTCCGAAGACACATTGGTTTCCGGACAATAACTTTAGTTTAAGTGAATGGATCTCTATGAAATTTTTTAAGAAGGTTCAATACCACAAAAGGAAGGTTGGGATTGATTTTGGGGATGATGGTCCCAACCGTATAGGAATTAAGGGCCCAAAAGGGGCCCAAAACAAGCATTTTTCTAGTTTGAGGATAATAACTTGTGTATAAGTATTTCAATTGCTCTGAAATTGTACGATAATGTTTAATACCACAAGTAGAAGGTTGGGATATATTTTAGGGGTTATGGGGCCAACAGTTTAGGAATTAAGGGCCAAAAAGGGGCCAAAAACAAGCATTTTTCTAGTTTCCAGACAATAACTTGTGTGTAAGTGTATGGATCTCTCTGACATTGTACCACAAGGTTCCATATCACAAAGGGAAAGCTAGGACTGAGTTTGGGGTTAATTGCCCAAATATGTAGGAATTAGGGACCAAAAAAGGGCCAAAAACAAGCATTTTTCTAGTTTCCAGACAATAACTTTTGTTTAAGTGTATGGACGATCTCTGAAATTGTACTACAAGGTTCCATACTACAAGGGAAAGGCTGGGATCAAGTTTTGGGGTTATTGCTCAAAGGGGGGTTTCAAAAAGTTAGGGGGGGGATTTTTTTTCCAATTTTTTTAGAGGAATCATATTTTTTTTTTCCAAAATTTTTTAAATTTTGAATTTTTGAAAAGTTTCAAGAAGAAATCTTCAATTGCACAGTATTGCGCAATAGATTTGTAAGATCTTTGACCACATTTATTTTGTGTCAGAAATCTATATTATATCAAAAATTTGATTACAATCCAAATTCAGACAGTATCAAGCTTGAATATTGTGTCCAAATTTGTACCAACTGTTCAGGGTTCGACCTCTGCGGTCGTATCTGGTTGCTCTCAGCGAAGCATTTTATCATTTGTTGTTTTTAGCATGAATCAGGCTGTTAGTTTTCCCTTTTGAATTGTTTCACATTTTTTCATGCAGGGGCCTAAAATACATATAGCTTTATTGCATGTATATGGTTTGTGTATGGCTTTTGCTCATTGTTGAAGGCTTTACAATGTCCAGTAGTTGCTAACATCCTATACTTCTGTCTCTGGATGACAGTTGTATCGTATCGTATTGTATTGTATCGTATCATATTGTATCGTATCGTATCATATCGGCAATCAAAATTACCTGGCCTGGCATCTGGTATACTTTTTCTGTTTTAGGATTATAGCTTTCTTAATACCGTACATGTATAAGTTTAGTGGGGTGACAATTTTTAACTTGAATTTAGAAATGGTTGAAAATCATATATAAAACAGACTTAACTTTTAGCTGATTCACACTTAATTATTTATGAAGCAAATTAAATTTAAAAAATGCACAGGTACATAATATAGGTGGGTATATTATTGGATAAATAATTTGTTTGCTACACAGGAATTTGAAGGTTATAATTGTTATCAACAATTATGTGTGTATAGATAGAGAAGTCTATTATTGGCAAAGATTTTATTCAAATTACTTATTTTATATGAAAGGTTACCATATTTAAGATAAAGACTTGTGGTTGTTAATATTTGATATACCCCTGTACACTTTGGTAAGTTTCTTTTTATTTTAGTAGAAAAATTTTATATTAAAAAAAGGATGAAATATTCTCTTATTTTGTTATCTACAATTTGAGAAATAAAATAAGTTTTAAAAATTTTCAGTCATAAATTATGCAGAATTTAAAACCCAAAATAAAAAATTAAAAAAAATTTTGTTCGTCCAAATTCATCCAAAGTTTTATCAAAGTTTCATCAAATAAAGATATAATCAAAAATTGTCCATGTCATTGTTATTATCTTACAGTGACCAGATAGATTGAATTTCAGATGTCCAAATTGTTTTAATGCATTTGACATGGTGAGGAGGGGAAATAATAATTCACTGAATGCATCATTGCTGACCAAAAGTTATTTTTATAGGACCACAAAAAATTTTGCGTTCGTATATTGGTATCACGTCGTCATCGTCCGAAGACATTTGGTTTCCGGACAATAACTTTGGTATAAGTAAATAGAAATCTATGAAATTTAAACACAAGGTTTATAACCACAAAAGGAAGGTTGGGATTGATTTTGGGGCTTATAGCAGTTTAGGAATTAGGGACCAAAAAAGGGCCCTAATAAGCATTTTTCTAGTTTATAGACAATACACTTGTGGAACGGTGTATGAATCTCTCTGAAATTATACCACAGGTTTCCATACCACAAAGGGATGGTTAGGATTGACTATGGGGGGTTATGGTGCAAACCATTTAGGAATTAGGGGCAAAAAAGAGGGAAAAACAAAGGTTTCATGGTTAATGGACAATTTAAAAGCAGTGTAAGGGAAGTAATCCAAACACATTTAAAGTACAATGTTGTGTATGTTTGGATTACCTCCCTTACACAGCTTTTAAATTATGTATAAAGAAATTTTGTATTGTCTTGAGGTGATTAGCTATCAATTTATTCTTAGAAGTTACTATTAAAGGAATATTAATTTTCCTATTTTAAGACTTTTATGATGTATTTAAATTGGTAATTATGGTTGCAAACTCTAGTGGGGAAGGGGAGTAAAAAAGAAATTGTGGGGGGTCAATTTTTTTTTTCATTTCAGATTTCAGAAATTAAAAAGAAATTTTCTTCAAATAGTATTTTTTGCAAAAAAAAGGGGGGGGGGGGGGTAAAAAAATATTTTATGGGGGGGGCTCAATACGCAACAGCATAGTGTATTTCACAAAAGAAAAAAAAAGGGGGGTAATTTTTTTTTTTTGGTGGGGGGGGGGGGGGGATCAATTTGCAACAGCATAGTGTATTGCACAAAAGCAAAAAATTGAATATAAATTCAAATCATATAACCAATTCTAAGTTCTTTGACTACAGTTATTCGGTGTCAGAAACTTATTATGTGTCAAATATTTAATTACAATCCAAATTCAGACCTGTATCAAGCGCGAATATTGATATTGTGTCCATTTTTGCCCCAACTGTTCAGGGTTGGACCTCTGCGGTCGTATCCAGCTGCGCTAAGCGAAGCATTTTATTAAGAATGTTATTGTACAAATTTCCTTCAGTTTGCTGCATTGATTGGTCAGGGATGGGAACAAACATAATAAAACAGTTGTTAAAATTTTGCATGAAATGAAAGTTTGACCTTCAAAACCCATATGGATTTAGAGATCTTTTCATACTTTAATTCGCAGAGCTGGTAGGCCTATAATACTGCAGATCATTATCATTGAAATATCTTATGTCTGTTTGTTGAAATAACTAGAATTTTCTGTTGTCTAATAAATTAGAAATTGCACAAGTAAATCATTGTATCTTTGGAAGTACAAAAATTAGGTGAATATAAAAGGAGATATATGGTAATACCCAATGAGACAACTTTCTCCATGACTATCCACCAGGTACCAAAAGACAAGAATATAAACAACTGTAGGGAACAATACAGTTTTTAACAATGACCAAAACCCATATATGGTCTAGACTAGAGCTATAAATGGCCCTGACATGACATATATTTGTCCTTGGATATAATCATGATAATGGTAGATAAATTATGTTATATAATGATTATTAAATACTGGAAGGAAGTATGAAGAAGTTGTGGGCTGTAAATTAACTGTAAATAAAAATCTCCCATACATAATTATTACTTTTTTTTCTCTCCATAAAATGATGAAATGTTTTCTGCATATTTCACCCATTGTAAAATTTTAAATCATCAGCTTGATATGTGATGATTAAATATCACCCCCTCAAAGTGGAAATGGTAGATCCAAACATTGGTGCACTTGTACTTCTCTGTATTAATTTATTGTTTAGAGGTGTAAGGAAAAGTGAGATTGGACTGTGATAAATTCAGGAATTTCTGTGGTATAGAGAGCTAATCATCTTTGGATATATTTTATTAATATTTAAAAAAAAAAGGTAAAATATATTTCTTATTCATACACAAACTAATAAAAAAACGTTTTTTTCCTTAGAAGTGATTGAATGTTTACAGGATATCTGAACATTTGTAAAAAATTTTAATCACCAGTTATTTTTGATATGTGAAAAACTAAAAGTCGCCTATCAAAGCTATTGCCTCAGGTATACTATTATTTATTGGTATATAGAATATTCAATACTGTAGAGAATAAATATACAGATGTGATATATTTTTATCTTTTGATAAAGATTTGATGCTAAATTTTTTAATGGTACACAAAATTTTGATAATTTCATTGAAAAGGTTTTTCCAAGAAATTATGAAATGTTAACAGTGTAATTTGATCTATGGTGAAATTTAAACTCATCCCAGTAAAGGCTTGATATGTAAAATTTAAACTCATCCCAGTAAAGACTTGATATGTAAAATTTAAATGTCGTCACAAATCAAAGACAAAAAAATGATAGCTCCATTGGCAGATCCATGGGGGTGTTCCGAGGGTTGGACACCCCCCCACTTTTTGTTTGACAACTAATGCTTTTGTATGGGGACATATGGTTGGAACCCAGACCCCGCCCCCTATTTATATGACTTGTATGTGTTGGAACCCCCTATTAAAAATGGCTGGATCCTCACCTGTAGCTCAATAGATTCAAAAGTACAATTTTAAATGTCTTTTATCTGTTATAAAGATTAATCTACTTCCTCAGTTGTGTTATATCACCATGGAAAAAATGCCTAAGTCTGTGATAAATTGTTACATAATAATGTGTTGTCATAGTATACCTGTCTATTACATAACATCACAAGACAAGATAACAAACTGAATTTGTAGCAAAATATATGAAAATATATGGTTTTATAGGAACTCTGACACAAAACAGGACAACTGAAATCCAGACTTTGGCATTTTGGGTAGCAAAGTTATCTAGATGACACTTAGGAAGAGAACCCCAGACTTAGATATCTACCTTGTGTATAGCAGGGTTGTGAGAAAATTATTCACTGAATAACGAATAGTTTAAATTTTAAATGAACAATATTCTCTCCATGTAAGGCATTGAAAGTCAGCTTTTATAATGAAAACAGCACGATTAAGAATATGATTTCTTTAAAACTAGCTTTCATTATTAAAATGACTAGATGTGGTTTGTTCTAATTGTAATGTTTGTGTGTTCTTGTTGTTCAGTCTATAGTTTTCTATGTTGTGTTTTGTATGCTGTTGTTACAAATTTGTTTTTTGATCACTTTTCATTGTTTGGCATGGCATTGTCAGTTTGTTTTTGACTTATGAATTTGAATGTCCCTTTGTTATCTTTCTCCTCTGTTTTATATTGTCCTTATGGGACATTTTAATGTGCACTTGATCCATGTGCTGTTTTATTTACTTAAGTTAATAAGTCAGTATGTACATAATTTTTACTTAAGGAGTTTCTGCACATAATTGATATATGGTTAGGGTTAATTTAAAGGTTAAAGGAATATTAGGTTGGGGATGGTTTAGGTATGGGATATCTTCAGACTTAGGAAAAGTTCAGGCGATTAATTTGTGCACTAAAGGACGATTAATTTGTGCACTAAAGGACGGATGTTGAAAAACAAAGGGATGATATCTGTTAAAACAGTTCATTTCTACCTATTTGTATGAAACATTGTCTAAGTAACAAGCTTTTAGTACGAGAACTTTAACTTGTAAAATACAAATTGTAAGCTTTAGTACATTTTTTTTTGTAATTGCATGATATTGCAATATTTTACTCCAACTTGTTGAGGGATAACAAAATTGATAACAGTGATCTGGGATGGCCCCTAGTAAGAGTTAGGTTCCATATGTATACTGTTTTTGAAATTATCATTATTAATTCATAAAAATGATATTTGGGGGGGGGAGTCTGATCGCGGATCCTGCTTATTGTTATGTCAGATTCCCGTATCCCACTTATTATTGTAATCTCAATCATCATTCCACCATTCCTGCATCACGCTTAGACCCCAATGAGACCCACAAAAATTATTACATGAAGATATATGTATATATTTGTAGCAGAGCAAGATGAGAGATGAAATAGCCCCCCACACCCCACCCCCTGGCATTAAAATCAATAATCAAATTTTGACAAAGACCAAATATTGAGGTAAAAAATCCTTTATGCAAATCTTGAAAATACTTGAAATGAGCACAATCCATTTCATCAGCCTTCCAAATTTAACCATCCTAATAATTGCCATCATTTGTATATTTACAAATAGTATATACCTGTTGTGGGAGTATCAGGTATTTATTTTGATAAATATATATTTCATTTTTATTGGGTGGTATTAAATGTTTCTTCAAAGATAAATATATCAAAGTAAACATATGGAATTGATTGAAATTGAAAAGGTAAAGAGTATTTAAAATGTGCATCAAATATCCTTGTTGTTTCTTAGTGGTTAAAAGTGACTTCTTTGAAGAAATTGAGTTTTAACAATCATTATTTTGATGTGATTGAGTTTGAAAAGGGAACTTGACTGATCTGATGAAAATATTTATGATGGAAGGAATGTTAAAAATCATTTGATATTAATAGAAATGTGTAACCAAAAATATATTTCACTCATCAACCCTGATTTGTGTTTGTTAGTTTTGAATGTCACATGTTAAATTTTGAACCGCTGCTTGATACATGTACATGTAGCATGGTAACTGCCAACTGAGTTTTTCATAAAGGTCATATTATGAATCTTGTTTATAACTCTCAATAATATTTTTTGATTTTTTAAATGTTCATTTTTGACATTCTTATAGATACATGGAAAAGCTGCAATTAAAGTATACTTAAGACATGGATGATAAAATGAGAGGCTATTGCAGTAAACCCGCAGCCTGCACCCCGCAACCCGCAGCCCTCAGCCCGCAAAATAGTGATACTGTGACATAATATATCACTCACTATTTCTAAAATATTAATAGAATGGGTTACAACATCTTTTCTCTGTTTTTTACAGACATAGTTATTTCAAAATGTTTATTTATAGCTTGAATGTAAATTAATTACACTCAACTGGTTCTCTCAACTAATCTTAGTCACTGATGAACCTGTTTTCATTGACCCTTGCAGCAGGAAAAGTCAGCTTATACATGTACATTAAAGTTGCATTTATAACTTTGATTTTGATGGTATGAGTTGAAAAAAATTAAAGGATATTTTTTTTTTTATTTATGTTTCAATCATTTATACGAATATAATATTGAATGATAATTTGCTGTAGCTTTAGGTTTATAGTTGAGTTTTGTTTCAATTATCTCAAAAACTTTGGTAATACATATATAGTGTCTTTAAAGACAATAATTATACCTCATTTGGATTTGTATGGATGCTACCTATTATTTGACCTTATTTGGTGACAATCGTACATGTGCCCAGCATGTTCAGTTATTAGATTTAAGAATATCACTTGAAAAAGTGAAACTAGGAAGCTAGCAAGAAGACTTCTTTTAACGGTTTGAATCAAGCTTACAAAATGTCATTATTTAACGTAAGTACAGGTTTAAATTTTTTTTTTATCTATGATAGCTGAACCTAAGGAAATAATTGCACATGCTTACAGCCAAATCCATGCTTGTCTATCTAAATTTATATCAAGATCTTCTGGCGATTGACAATCTTGGGAAGTCATGTTGATGGTTAATTAGATGGCATCAAGTTCCCATTTATGTAGGAAATGTTGATACTTTATATCAATTTCATGCATTGTTAATTGTTTCCTACATGGAACTCTTGTAGTTCTGAAATAAATAAAATTTTAGAGTTTGATGTAAAAATAAGGAGATCTAGTATGATTGCCAATGAGAAAACTATCTACCAGAGTTCAATTGCAAATGAAGTGGATGTAAGTAATTATAGGCCACTGTATGGCCTTCAACAATGAGAAAAACCTTACTGTATAGTTTGCTATGCTATAAATAAAGGCATGACATGAAAAATGTGAAACAATTCAAACAAGAAAACTAACGGCCAAATTTATAAAATAACCATTTACTAAAAACAAGTGGGACACACAGTATAAGTGACAAAAAACTATATTTTATACATCTCTTGGAACAGGAAACCTCATTAATGACATTGATGCAAGATAGAGTAACCAATTCAATTGCATTGAAGCATTTTTTCTTCTTCCTCTCATTAATGTATTGACCTGGATTGGCTTTAGGAATGCATGGAGACTGATTGTACATCTGTAGATTGAAAGGAAGCAATTTATTGACCTGGATTGGCTTTAGGGATGCATGGAGGCTGATTATACATCTGTTGATTGAAAGGAAGCAATGTATTGACCTGAATTGGCTTTAGGGATGCATGGAGGCTGATTGTACATCTGTAGATTGAAAAGAAGCAATTTATTGACCTGGATTGGCTTTAGGGATGCATGGAGGCTGATTGTACATCTGTAGATTGAAAGGAAGCAATTTATTGACCTGGATTGGCTTTAGGGATGCATGGATGCTGATTGTTCATCTGTAGATTGAAAGGAAGCAATGTATTGACCTGAATTGGTTTTAGGGATGCATGGAGGCTGATTGTACATCTGTAGATTGAAAGGAAGCAATGTATTGACCTGAATTGGCTTTAGGGATGCATGGAGGCTGATTGTACATCTGTAGATTGAAAGGAAGCAATGTATTGACCTGGATTGGCTTTAGGGATGCATGGAGGCTGATTGTACATCTGTAGATTGAAAGGAAGCAATGTATTAACCTGGATTAGCTTTAGGGATGCATGGAGGCTGATTGTACATCTGTATATTGAAAGGAAGCAATGTATTGACCTGAATTGGCTTTAGGGATGCATGGAGACTGATTGTACATCTGTAGATTGAAAGAAAGCAATGTATTGACCTGGATTGGCTTTATGGATGCATGGATACTGATTGTACATCTGTAGATTGAAAGGAAGCAATGCATTGACCTGGATTTTCTTTAGGGGTGCATGGAGGCTGATTGTACATCTGTAGATTGAAAGGAAGCAATGCATTGACCTGGATTGGCTTAAGGGGTGCATGGAGGCTGATTGTACATCTGTAGATTGAAAGGAAGCAATTGATTGACCTGGATTGGCTTTAGGGATGCATGGAGGCTGATTGTACATCTGTAGATTGAAAGGAAGCAATGTATTGACCTGGATTGGCTTTAGGGATGCATGGAGACTGATTGTACATCTGTAGATTGAAAGGAAGCAATGTATTGACCTGGATTTGCTTAAGGGATGCATGGAGACTGATTGTACATCTGTAGATTGAAAGGAAGCAATGTATTGACCTGGATTGGCTTTAGGGATGCATGGAGGCTGATTGTACATCTGTAGATTGAAAGGAAGCAATTTATTGACCTGGATTGGCTTTAGGGATGCATTGAGACTGATTGTACATCTGTAGATTGAAAGGAAGCAATTTATTGACCTGGATTGGCTTTAGGGATGCATGGAGGCTGATTGTACATCTGTAGATTGAAAGGAAGCAATGTCGAATCTGTTACAATTACCACTCAAGTATGATATCAGGCGGAATCGTGATTGACAGGTTTCTTGCAGTTGCATAATATTAGATTGCAGTTGTTAGGGTTGATTAAATTTTCAATGAAAGGTGTATTTTGGTAAGGGAAATTTGCAGTTTGAAATCGTTGATTGCACATTTCAGAAATTTTCTACTTAGATATGTCTGTTAATTGAGTAAATCAATTGCCTATGGCATTGTGTTGAAAATTAGATCATTTAATTTTCACTGAAGCTTTAAAAAATGTTACATTCATGCATATGTACTGCTGGGCTGTTTTCCAAGTTCAATGCAAGTAGACTAGCAAAGATTTCCAGCAATTTCTATACTTCCAGAAGACTGTATCATACCATGAGATAAATATATACTTCTGGTGATTTATAAAGTATGGTAAATAGATATATTGACTGACAAAACTCAAGTTTTAGAATCAATTAACAATATTTTGAAGTATTATTTAATTATTTAACAATCATATATAATATATACTACACTGGCATCGTAGGTACAATGCTACATTGCCAATGCCTCCTTTTGGAGTTCATGTTTACTCACCCTACAATGTAGCTTACATATGTTGTTACATACAATATATCTACATTTCTAAAAATGAGAAAGAGAAAAATCAAGTCATGAGCCATTGGCTGCTATAACTTAGTCCATAATGAAAAGTCCTAGATTCTCATCGACACCCTCCTCAATAAAGAAATAAAAATGTCATGTTGATATCTGGCTTTTCTCTTTTTATTTTGATAAAGTTTGAAAAAAAGTATGACAAAAAATAAAATCTAAAATGACAGTGTCTGTAAACACTTTTTGGTAGCCTCTTTTTGATAATGGAAAGTCTTAAATTTTATGTAAATTTTTCTTCTGATTTCAGGTGGATATTCTAGTCAGCCATGGGGGCAGAAGAAAGTAAAGGAATAAATTATGGCTTGATGGGCCCTACTACTGTGGTGGCCAACATGAACCGTCAAGCCCAAGCTGCCAGACCATGGTCTCTTTTACACATGTGTTCAGTGGACCAGTGGAAATCCGGGCATGCAGGTTAGTGTGAAAATTAACATCAGATTTCTTAAACTGCTTAGGATTTGGCTTAATTGGTTATCCCAAGAAACATTTCTCAAATTGTATAAAATATTATCTTCAGTGGTGATTTTTTCTGCATAATTTACATGTACATTAAAAAGTACTTTCGTTTACAACTTGACTTATGCTGGATCAGTGGCATAATGACAGAACATGCAATGAAAGAAATTTTAAAAACCAGCTAAGACTAATAACAAAACAAAGTAACATAGAACTTGTCTACATGCTGTGTGTAAATTCAGAAATTAATACATTCATTTATTATTGCGATTTTTGAAGAATGGACAAAAATTTGAGATTAATTATTGCAATTTCAGGAAAATCTGCATACGGATATATGCGTCAGATATCAAAATGTGAGTTCTTATTATTGCGATACTCACCCAGTCACAATATTCGCATTAATAAAAACCTTGCAATAATTTCTGAATTTACAGTACTTATTTCTTGGGACAAGCAACCTATGTATGTTTTGATTTTAACAAGATTTTCTTAACTCTCAACTTATCTAGAACAATTTTGTACCAGCAAAATAAAATGCAACAAATGGGAAAGAATCAGTTGAAATAAAAGTTTGTCATTTAAAGCAACGAGATAGGGACATAAATGAAGTACTGACATACAAGAACACACATTCCCTGATGTATAACTGATAAATAGATCACATTTTCCTATGCTCATTACAATGTACTGTTCTTGTCTTACTATGGATTTTAGTCCAATTGGGAGTTGGACTTTGGCAAACAATCATTCTGTCTCAATTATTCTATTTTTATCATGTGACTAAAAAATCTGAGGTAATTTTGATTTATTTCAATTACTGCTAACATTTAACTCTGTTGAGAATTTGATTTTCAGTTGAAATGGATTTTACTGATGTCTTGAGTTTTCATGTTTTGTTTCCAAGGCATTTAACAGGTTTAACAGTTGAATATGATTCAGACGTATGACTTATTTATAGTGCCGACAGAAATCAGACACGAGTTCAAAAAAATTAAATTATCTTTGTGAAATGCAGACAAAAGAAGAATTTTTATAACAGTTTTATTATGTAATTGCTTTATAATGATAGAGCATGGTACAATTTGATAATCATTTGCACTTTTAAGTGGAAAATTTTATTTACAAAACAATCGTTCATTAAAGAATTTATTTACAACCTTTAAGGTTTACTTTCACTGAGAAAACACCTGATGTGAGCATGTATATAGATTCTTTTTATGTGAAAAAATGTTCAGCTCATAAATTACTTGTCTTTTAATATATAATTAATAGCACGAAAACAGATGTTTATTGCTACTCTTTGATGAACTGACATGTTTAATAAACATTTATGACTTCTTCAAGTCAATATTGGGTAAAAGGAATTTAATACTTAAAATTGGAAGTATTTCTTTTATAGAAATTTGCTTTAGAGCTTTTTTGAGGTAACAGATCCAATTGTGTCCGTTGTGGAAGACATCTTAATGTTTATTTTTATGTCCACGCTTATACACAATGCTTATTACCACAAAACTCAGATCAAGTTTGAATTTGGGTGGCTTCACTTTTACCTTTCTGGATTAATGTAATGCCCCTTCATAAATGAAAAAAAATGCTGAAATTTTTGTTTCCATTCTCAAACTTTTCAACCAAATGTTATGAAACTTATACACAATGCATATTACGACAAAACATAGATCAAGTTCAATTTTGGGTGGTGTCTCTTTAAAAGTTCTCTGGACATGTCCCTTTATAATGTTATATGCAGTTGGGGGCGATTCATCTGTGGACACATTCCCCATTTACTTATTTATATCTCCCTGAGATGAAATTGTGAGACTAGGTGGGCTATTCCCAGTCTCAGTGTTAATATTGTGATTTGGTCAAATTAAGGGGAACCACTATTGTTAAGTCGACATTGCATTTTTATTGATATTATTTGGCCCTACATGCCTTCTTAGTCTATTGACCTTGAAACCCTAAATTTTTTATTAGATCATTTTAAGGGGAAGAAATTTAAGTAAATGATATTTGGAATGCAGTTAGCATTTGAGTATCTCTTTTCAAAAGAGATTATACGGCCCCGCCCCTCAGTCCATGACTTTGAATTTTTTGTATAGATAATTCCATTTAAAGTTAAACATTTGAATCATATTATCAAAATGAAATAAAGGTGAGACATAATTTCCTTGTCAATAGTTTATTTGTATTTTTAGGTTGCTTTTTTATGGACCTTTACCTCCATTATCTTCTTTTCATTTATGGAATTAAAGAAATTTTGGCGATATTTTTATTATTGTGCAAATTGTGAGACAGGTTTGGTCTAAAAAAAAAAAAACCAAACTTGCATTTGGATTATGATAGCATTCATGAAATTGTAATAATTTATATCACATATTATGTCAAATGATCATAATCGCTGTTATAGAAATGTGCAATAAAATCTGAATTTGCAGTATATTTATCTCTGTTTTCTTGGTAGAGTTAATATATCACTATCAATGGAATCTTAGATAACACTTTGAAATAATTGGCTAATTCCATTGTTTAAAGTGGTTTCTTCTTTATAATGTAAATATTTTAAGATGGTTATAAGAATGAATAACAGACTGTTTTTACTGTATATAAACTTTACAAAGGAACAGAAATAATTGTTTTTTTTATACATATCTCATAAATTTGAACAGTTATGTTAATGGAACTACTGTTGATCTCCATTGAAAACATAGAACTGAAAAGATTTAATAAGTTGTAAACATCATATTCCAGTAAATTAGATTTTTCCAAATGGCATACTTTAAATGTCAGTGAAAATAATACTATTAAAATGAAAAATTTTAGATTATGAAAATTACAGGAATTCTCTATTTTGTAAAAAAAATTAATGCACATTTTTTAATTAACTCATTTAGGACACTTATGAAGGTCTCTTGATGTGAGTTCCAAAAAACCCCAGAATATCATGTTTATAGAAGAAGTCATCTAAGTGACTAGCCTTACATATTTTCATATTTGTTTTGGAAACACTACATTTTTTTCCTGCTTTAAAAATGAAATAAAAAAGATAACGACCGATTGTTCGTTGCTTAAATTTTTATGTCCAGTGGTAAATGTTTAATGCATTTTCATGATCAAATGAGACAATTATCATAACAACAGAGCCTGGAAATGAATGTACTGTCCTCTACAATTTGATTATCAAAAGTCTTTGTATATATCAATTGAATTTAACAAAATTAATGCTTTCTCCAATGCTAATTGTCAGGTACTTTCTGACATATTGTACATTTACGTGCAGTCAAGGTGCACCTCTCAGGTGATAGCTGTCAATACAGGTGAAACCATAACGAGATGTTTATTAATATAGAAGTAATTATATAAAATGTGGTTAGTAAGAAAGGTATTTATTGGCATTCTGTCAAAGGAAGTTTATATAAAATGTCAATTAATAACACTGTGTCTGGTCCCAGGTGTGTTTTATAGTTCTTTATATAGCACATAATTTGTTCTTACTTCCTCACTAACCATTTACTTTTGATTCACCTCCCTCAGTTTGTATTTTCTCAAAGTTTTTTATTTGAATTTCTCTCTCCGTTTATTCTTCACATTTTTTGCAGCAGAGCCAATTTTATTTGTTAAACAGTTTCCTAGCAACTGGTGGCTTAAATTTCAAATTGATCAGGAGCATACAAAATTGTGTCAGTTGTTAAAATCTGTTTGGCTCATGTGAAGCTTGATTCATGTGACAATTTATCACATCTTAGAAATTCGAAGACAACCACTAAGAAAATGAAAACACTTTGGTCTGCATTCATGTTGTATTGATGTGGAAGACATTGTCTGTATAATGTATCATAATCTGCATTTTAATGACTTGGAAAACTTTCGATTTTGATATTTTTAGACTTCGATCACAATTTAAGGATAGATTTATTTAATTGCCATGTTTAATCAAACTACAGCTTCATATGGCACTTGAAAAAATATCTGTTCGTTTCCTGCCTTCCAACTAAGTTTGACACCAACACTTCAACAATTCATTGCCTAGCTTGCCAAATTTTTTTAAAAGTAAAACTGTTGTCACTCCAGTAGACTGGAATCAATTTATTCTGACTTATTAAGTAAAAGGTTGTCATAACTTTGCAAATGGCTAAAGCTCTATCTGGCATGCATCAATTACGGGGTAATGAGTATGTAGTGTAAATCTGCACCAGACTTAATGCTTAATGGAGAAAGCATTTGATTTTACTGGAATTTATTGACAAGCAAAAATAATATTAAAATGAAAATTACAATAATTAAAAACCAACTGTGTGGCAGGAGATTATAGGTTACTTGCCTATATTTTTTGTGGTCTGAAATAACCAAATACATACACTCTGTTTTTAACTTTTATGCAAGCCAAAAAGTTTGTACAATATTTAAATGCTGAAGTGAGTGGTAGGATTTTAGAGAACTTAGGTTCATGCAGGCAGTTAAAGATAAAAAATATTTTTTTGAGGGTAACAGCTTCTCATATTTTCAAATTTTCCTTCAGATTTTGCATACATTCATGATTTTTCCCTAAAGCTATGCATTACAATATTTTTGTCAGCAAACCCTTTGTTTCTCAACGTTTAAAGAATATTTACATCTCAATTCTTTTTTATTTAATTGTCAATTAAGATCAAATTAGTTTGCATGTATTGATTAAGATAGGCGTTTCACTTTTCTGCAAGTCAGCATTTCTTTTCTGAAGTTTTTTCATTATGTTTCCTCAAATCTGTTGCCTTCTTTTCTGCAATTATTTTCAATTTTTATGCCCCCACAACAGGGGGCATTAAGTGTTACCCTTTACTGTCCTTCTGTTCGTCCATCTTTCCTTCCGTCCGTCCCATTTTTGTTTCCACACTCTAACTTAAGTTTAACTCATCTAAATTTTATGAAACTTATACACAATGCTTAGAACCAAAACTTGCAGAAATCAAATTTGGGCA